GTTGAAGTGATGGTTGCTAAATAAATGCCCAGTTTGCCTGGCAGACACTATCAGTCATGATTGGCAGAGGGAAACAAAATAAAAAGATGTCCCTGATGGAAGAGTAGCAGGTGGTGTGGCCAGATTGACCACAAGAGCTCATAAGACAACTTCTTAATTTGGTGGAAGCCCTAAACTGGTAATCTTCTCAGAGTTCTCTTGTTTACCATAGGAAGCCCTCTTTTTTATCTTACTCTCACATTCTAACCTAGGAGAATCCCCGGGTTAAAATGCCATTGAATGGAGACCCTGTAATGTTGAGAGAGGAACGAAGGAAGGAAAAGTAACTTGCTGAGATGCTGCATCCCAGTTTTGTATGGAAGCTTCAGGTCTGTGTTGATCAGGCATCACTTTTTCCCTTCTAGCTGTCTCCCAGCATCCCTGCCCTAGATCTCTGCAGAGGGGGAGTCCATGTATTTGAGCCTGGAGAAATTTACTAGTCTGTCATCTATTCAGTAGGTATTTGCTGACTATCAGGCACTGTGCTTAGGTATCTAGAGATGGAAAGATGAATAGTCTGCTCCTGCCTTTACAAAGAGTTCTAAACCAGCAAGATATCAAATATGAAATGCATCCTGTATTTTCTTTATTGCAAAATGCTTGTTTCTCCATATTTTAATTTTTCTAAAGTCAGGAATTTCTTACCATTATGTATATTTATGCAATGAACGCTCTTTTAAGCAAATACTCATTTTCTCCTTTTGACTCTAGACAGCTAGTGCTAAGATAGCGTACATAAGAATCACATGGAATATTCACTGGATATGCACTGGACATATTGGTGGTACCTAGAAAGGTCTGGGATCAGATTGTGTGTATGTGTGTGGGTAGGGTGTTGTGCAAGTTCATCAGGCTTCTAGGCAATTCTGCTGCAGGTGGTCTGTGCCGGACGATACTTTTAGAAACTGCTACAGACAAACAATAAGTTTGTAACCTGCACATTAGAATCACCTGAAGATCTTTTAAAATAACTAATTCTTAAGCCAATACCAGATCAATTAAACTAGAACCTCTGGATACTTGGCAGCAGTATTTTTGATAGCTCTCCAGGTGATACCCAAGCGTCTTCAGGTTTGAGACCCACAGCTATAGAAGGTTGAGGAGAAGCAGTGCTTCTGAAACTTCCATGGGTGTATAAATCACCTGGGTTCTTATTAAAATGCAAACTCTGATTCAGCAGGTCTGGGGAGGAGGCCTGGGATTCTGCATTTCTGAAGGCTCCCAGGGAAGGCTGATGCATGCATGCTTCTGGGGCACACATTTTGAGAAGCATGGGAAGACATAGAGCCAATCCAGAGTTTTCACGATAATGACAGTCTAGAGATGTTTTCTTTTGTCTATAAGAGCAACCTCTCTAATATGCCCCAAATTCAAGTCCATGGAGTGGACCAGCTGCATCAGGTTTGTTCACGACCCTAGTACAGATAAAGATACAGATTGTTGGGCTCACCACTGGAGATTCTGAGTCTATCACCAATAATCATATTAGTAGCACTATGTATGTACTGGACTTTTTCATGTTTAGTATTGCTAATTTAATCCTCACTACAGCTCTGTGAAATAAGTAATATATTATTTCCTCTGTCATGGAGGAATATATTATTTTCTCTATGTATGTATGAATCACCTGGGTTCTTATTAAAATGCAGACTCTGATTCAGCAGGTCTGGGGAGAAGGCCTGGGATTCTGCATTTCTGAAGGCTCCCAGGGAAGGGTGACGCATTCATGCTGCTGGGGCATGTACCACATTTTGAGGCGCATGGGAAGACATAGAGCCAGTCTGGAGTTTTCATGATAATGACAAATAGTCCAGAGATGTTTTCTTTTGTTTTTAAGAGCACCCTCTCTAATAAACCCCAAATTCAAGTGCATGGAGTAGACCAGCTGCATCAATATGGAGGAATATAATATATTCCTCCATGATTAAATTGTGGCTTGGAGGGTTGAGTACTTTGCCCTAGGCCTGATTTAGTAAGAGGCTACTCAGCATACTCTATTTTTAAAAGAGCCCTAGATACTGATACCTTATCTCTGTGGAAAAAGAAATCTCAAATAAAGATATTTCCTAAAAGGATGACCATAGCTGTGGACCTCTTTATATTAAATTAAATATGAATCTGTCTATTTGCATTTAAGACACAAACATGCATTTAGACAGAAAATGCTTCAATTTTTAGGAATAAGAAAATTACATATAATGGAAAAGGTTGCAAATATTTTAAAGATTGTCTTTGAAATATACAGTAGTTATCTGATAGGACCGTAGCAAAATTCATTTTCAGAGATTGAGCAGATGAAAACTACTTAATTGTCCTTCAAAAGAAAATAGAAAAAAGTTTGGTACATCAATACAATGGAATGCCATTCAGCCATTACTCACAATGGTTGTAGAACATTTAGTGGCATGGAAGGCAGTTCACAATACAATAAGAGATATAAAATAATATTTAGGCTGGGCACAGTGGCTCCTGCCTGTAATCCCAGCACATTAGGAGGCCAAGGCTTGTGGATCACTTGAGGCCAGGAGATTGAGACCAGCCTGGCCAACATGGTGAAACCCCGTCTTTACTGAAAAATACTAAAACTTAGCCGGGCCTGGTAGTGCACGCCTGTTTGTAGTCTCAGGTACTGTAGAGGCTAAGGCACAAGAATCGCTTGAATCACTTGAGGTGGAGGTTGTAGTGAACCGAGATTGTGTCACTGTACTCCATCCAGCCTGGGTAATAGAGTGAGACTCTGTCTCAAAACAACAACAACAAAGACAGTATTTATAGCATGATTTATAGTATTTATAGTTTGTTTCAAAGTCCTAGTAATTAAAATATATTTATGCAAATAATAAGTTTATGGGCAGTTATACACCAAGATGTTAATAGTTCTCTCAGGATGGTGGGGTTATGGCTATTCCTTCTGAATATTGGTTAAGCTCCTACTTTGTGGCTGATACTATACCAAGCATTGTGAGAAATAAATGGGAGTGTGTAGGCTGATTCCATCCTTATAGAACTAACTGGATCTAGATTTAACAAAAATGTATCAGCTGTGTTTTCATTTAATCCATGCTATGCTTATAAAGGAGACCTATGGGTCAATTTATGGTTCTCTGCCAGCCACTTTTCTCCCTCACCCCATCCACTCTGTATCCCTCCTTTCTTTCTTCCACTCATTTATCCATCCGTCTACCTTTTTATCATTCAAAAAACATTTACCAATTGTCTGCTCTGTATTTATGAACTGATAATGGAGAGATGAAAAAGATACTCTCAGCTCTGCAGATGTTGCTCTTTGTCTTCATTTTTTTGAAATAAACTTTATTTTGGGATAATTTTAGATATATAGAAGATAGCAGCAAAGACAGTACAGAGAATTCCCATATACCTGCACCCAGTATCAGTTTTCTATAGGGTTGTCACATCATATCACCATGGTTCATTTGTCAAAATTGAGAACCCAGCATTCGTACATTACTATTAACTCAACTCTAGACATTTCAGATTTCACCAGTTTTTCCTATAATATCATCTTTCTGTTCAGGATCTAGTCCAGGATACTAGTACATTGCAATTTGTTGTCATGTCTCCTCCTAAGTTTCCTCTGATCTGTAATTGTTTCTTACACTTTTTTTTTTAATCACCTTGACATTTTGAGGTACTGATTAGTTATTTTTATAGAATGTATCTTAATTTGCATTTGTCTGATGTTTTCTTGTGATTAGACTGGGGTTATTGGTTTTTGGAAAGAATACCACTGAGTGAAGTGCCCTTATCACCTGATATCCATGTGACATCCTTGGTAATGTTAAAGTGATTGCTTAGTTAAGGTAATATTTGCCAGATTTCTCCACTGTAACGTTACTATTTTTTCTTTGGAAAAAATCACTGATTGAGCTACCTTTTAGAAGGGGAAGGGTTAAATTTTGCTCCTAAAGAGGGCAGTATTTTTATATATTGTTTGAAAATTTTCTTTAAGGAAGACTTGTTCCTTCACATTTATTCCATTCTTTATTTATATCAGTGTAGACTCGTAGATACTTATTTTATACTTTGGGTTGTAATTCAACATCATATTATTTATATTGTTGCACAAACTGTTCCAGCCTTGGCCATTGAGAACTCTTTCAGTTGGTGCCTGTATCCCCTTGGCATGCCCCAGACCATTTGTTTTTTGAATATCTCCTTATTTCCTGGTACTATAAGATGCTCCAAGCTTCTCTTGTTTTTTTCCTGCCTGAGCCCTAGAATTAACCATGTGAGAATGGTATTTCAAAGTCAGTATCTGAGTGCTGGATACTCATTGTCTTTGAAAGGAAGGAAATAGAAAAGTGAAAAATATTGTACATAATGTTCAAAGTGCTATGGAAGCAGCGAGGATAGGCCGACTACTTCTTTCAGGGGAAGTCTTCACTAAAGAAATGGTATTTTAAATTGAGTAGTGTTTTCCAGATGATGATCAGGATTGGAGTGGGATGGGAAAGGGGTGAAGGAAATATATGTTAGCAAAATCAAGGGTAACTGGCTGTTTAACTTGATCTGACTATAGACTTACATTGGTAGTGGCCCTTCTTTGATTTTCCCATTGCATAAAAATGAGGCATTTTCACAGATTATATTTTTTTTCCACAAGAGGATCTCTATGCAAGCCCTGTTGACTGTCCTCCTTCATTCCCCATCTTCCTTCCAGTCTTTCTTCCTTCTAAATGTACTTAGCTCCTACTTTCTGCCAGGCCCAATGCAAGGCACAGGGTGTGCAGGCAAGAATTTGATAGCCCCTACCATCAGGAAGTTCTATATCTAGAGTGACATCCTGTGGCTTTTTTCTTCTCCCCTTAGCCCTTTTCCAGGTGTCTAATTTTTAAGGCTTTGCAGAAAGCATAAAAAAGCAAAGAGGAAATATAAGCAACGTCTGTATTGTGAAGCTGACATGATACTCGACTCACTCAGAAAGTCTTTTTTGTTCACAGATAACAATTGGTGTATATGATCCCTGTAACTTAGCCCAGTACCCTGGATGGCCTTTGAGGAATTTTTTGGTCCTAGCAGCCCACAGATGGTATTTACAAGAGTGTGTGTTTGTCTGTCTGTCTGTCTGTCTGCCTCTGTCAGTATGTGTTTACAATGTGTCTGTTTATATCTGTATCTCTGTTTTCCTAAATAGATTTTTTTTTTTCATTTTGGGCATGGAAACCAGGCAATCAGTAAATCAGTCATAACCCAATTTCCATATGAGGCTTAATCAGGTCTGTTAGGGAGCCACATACTCTGAATATTCTGTACTAAAGATGTTTTCGCATATGGTAGAGTTGGTAGCCACAGGTCCTGACACAAATTCTGTCGCCCTCCCTTCTAGCTGTCTGGGTTGCTTTCAGATAGGATTTTCCTACTGCTGTCATTCTCCATTTTTCTTAACCCTAAAATAATTAAAACAGAGGATATATTAAAAGCCAATATACATTTGAAAAGATGCCCAATATCATGTCATTAAGGAAATAAAAATTAAAACCATAATGAGATGCTTCAACATATCCACCAAAAGTATTTAACAAAAACATCCATACCAAGTGTTGTCAACAATGTGGAACAACTAGAACTCTCAAATACTGCTGGAAAAATGTTAAGCAGTATCTACCAAAATTAAAATATCTATGGCTCAGCAGTGTTACTCTCAAGTAGATTGTTCACTGAAATACATACATAAATAGAAGCAGAACACATATACAAGAATGTTTACAGAAGCATTATTCTTAATAACCAAAAGCTGGGAATAACCCACAAGTTCTTCAATAATGAAATGAATGATAATTTATAGTATATCCCTTACGATGAAATACCATGTTACAGTGAATCTGAGTGAACTATTAACAGAAATCAACATGAATGAATTTTAAAAGTATAAAATTAAGCGAAATAAGCTGGACCTAAATAATACATATTCTGTGATTCCATTAATGTAAAGTTCAAAACAGGCAAAACCAATGTATGGACTTAAGAGTAGTTGTTACTTTTGAAGGGAGTGGTTAATGACTAAGGGAAGGCATGAGACAGCCTTCTTTATACTTGGGATTTGTGTAATTTTCTTTGTGTCTACTTTACTTAAATAAAAATGTTTATTTAAAAATATGAAGATAGATAAATTACAGATTGTCCTTTGAGGGAGACAATCCACAATTATCCAGGTGGTAAGTCAACAAAGTGTAAATGGACTTCCTCACTACTGACTGAGGTGCTACTGCTTAGAGGTTTTTTCCTAAATGTCTTGTGAGCATTTTTTCCCTGCATTTAAAAGATTTATTTGTCAGAATTATTTATGTGCAATATGATTGTAATATAAAATTCACCTCAGCCAGTTCATTGTTCAGCCTCTAAACATTGGACAGATAAACCATAATATGAATATGTTCAAAAAGGTTAAGACCATCTCCCTCGGGTGTCAGAGTGGCATAATTACAATGCATTGAATTTTCTCCAGCTGGTTTACTGAAGCTCTTATGTGAGCTTTTTCTTTTCCTTCCTTTTAACAAAAATAATAAATAAATAAAAATCCGGGCATGACAACAGGAGTAGCAGTTTCCAGTCTGTTGAAGTCCTTTGCTTCCGTGACCGTACCATGCAGGGGGCGAGAGATGTTGCCCACAGCATCATCTTCGAAGTGAAGCTTCCAGAAATGGCATTTAGCCCAGGTAATTTGCTGGTCTTTGAAAATGCATATAATTATCATTTATCAGAAATGGAACCAGGTTTACTTTCTTTTCATCCCTTCACAATGACAGAAGAAAGGAAGAGAAAAGTACAACTAGTACCTCTTTGCCAATGCAGACACCTACTTCTAACAGAGGGCACGCTCTGCTATTCAGACTGGAACAAAGGCAAAGATTGTGACCAGGAAATTTTCTCTTGGCGTTTTTTTCAGTCTTCATGATTTGTTCTCTGCTCCTTGTTTTCAATTTTACTTTTGTTTAACACAAAATCTTTATTCCTGTCTATTCTTAAAGGAAGGCTAAAGTGTTTTTTTGGTTTTTTTTTTTTTGTTGTTGTTTTTTGAGATGGAGTCTTGCTCTGTCGCCAGGCTGGAGTGCAGTGGCATGATCTCTGCTCACTGCAATCTCCGCCTCCTGGGTTCAAGCAATTCTCCTGCCCCAGCCTCCTGAGTAGCTGGGATTACAGGCACGGGGGCACCACACCCAGCTAATTTTTGTGTTTTTAGTAGAGATGGGGTTTCACCATTTTGTTCAGGATGGTCTTGAACTCCTGGCATTGTGATTTGCCTGCCTTGGCCTCCTAAAGTGCTGGGATTACAGGTGTAAGCCATCGTGCCCGGCCAGGAAAGATGAAGTATTAATGCACTTACATGTTTATTTGTTATGTACTTAAAGTTGTGTGTGATCCTGTTCTCCAGGTAGTAAAGTAAACAAAAATGCCATTTCTCCCTCCACATTTAATATCTTCATTTGATCTTTATGTGAGGATCATCAGCTTTTATCCCCATTTTATAAATTTAGAAACTTAGAGACATTGTATCTATAGATTAAATATGTGTATGTATTTGTATATATATATACATATATGGAGAGATATTTTTACATATGTCTCAGAGATGGAATACATACTCAAGTGTGAGTGAAATAAGGATATAATGTCCTGCTTTGAGAGTATTTCTTATCAGGAATTCATGTCCTATGTCAAAGTCAGAGCACAATTTCTGGCACATCATAGGTGCTTAATAAATGTTATGTGAATTTCCTAGCTCACATAAACCACAGCACTTTTATATTTCTTGCTAAAATAGTCCCTCATCTCTGTGATTTGTATGCTTTTCAGAGCACATTCACAATGTGTATATATATATATAAAATGTATATATATATTTATTTTATTTTATTTTATTTTTTTGAGGCTGAGTCTAGCTTTGTCACCCAGGCTGGAGGGCAATGGCCTGATTTCGACTCACTGCAACCCCTGCCTCCCAGGTTCAAGCAATTCTCCTGCCTCAGCCTCCCAAGTAGCTGGGATTACAGGAGCCTGCCACTACACCTGACTAATTTTTGTATTTTTAGTAGAGGTGGGTTTAACCATGTTGGTCAGGCTGGTCTTGAACTCCCAACCTCAAGTGATCCACCCACCTTGGCCTCCCAAAGTGCTGAGATTACAGGTGTGAGCTACCGAGCCTGGCCTCACATATATTAATTTGTTGTTCCTCACACCATCCTCATGGTTCCTAGGCACATTTCTTTCCTTATGCCATAAATATCTTAAAATGTGTGTGTGATGAGGAGGTGGTGTCAAAATCTCTTCCAAGGCCGGGCGCAGTGGCTCAGGTCTGTAATCCCAGCACTTGGGAGGCCGAGGCGGGTGAATCACCTGAGGTCAGGAGTTCGAGAGTGGCCTGGCCAACATGGTGAAACCCCATCTCTACTAAAAATACAAAAATTAGCCAGGAGTGATGGTGGGTGCCTGTAATCCTAGCTACTCAGGAGGCTGAGGTGGGAGAATTACTTGAACCTGGGAGTGGAGGTTGTAGTGAGCCAATAATACTGCTGCACTTCAGCCTGGGTGACACAGCAAGACTATGTCTCAAAAAAAAAAAACTTCTAAGATCTTTTCTAGAATGCTAAAGTCAGAAGGATTCAAGATTGGCTCAGATGACATTTTTTCAGCGATTCAATGCTCTAACACAGATGTTTTTACAGACTGAAAAATTGACAGAGTACTTCTGCTTGATCAGTCAAAGGAGGAAACTGCTCTTCAGTTTAGAGCCTTTGCCTTTCTGTTTTCTGTAGATATTTGCATTGGATGTAGCACCCTCTTCTGGCAAATTCTAAAATAGCTCCTGTGTATTAACTTATGTGCCGTATCTTTGTTTTATTAAACCACACTTCAAGATAGTCACGGGGCGTACAGTCTTTTGGCTTTCCTGGGCCACATTGGAAGAATTGTCTTGGGCCACACATAAAATACACTAACACTAATGATAGCTGATGAGCTTTAAAAAAATTGCAAAGAAATCTCATAATGTTTTAAGAAAGTTTATGAATTTGTGTTGGGCCACATTCAAAGCCACACTGGGCCGCCAGTTGGACAAGTACGGTCTCAGGGAATGAGGTGAGAGTTAACTAATGTGGATCTGGTTTGTATGTCTGACAAGCTGCCAGGTACCTTCCATCAGGTACTCACTTAACCTTGCCAACCACTCTGTGGGAAGTCAGTTTTCTTTCTACGTCTATGACAAAGGCACTGAGTTATTCTTACACCCTACTCTCTGTGGTAAGGCTCATGCTTCACTTGATGATGTTGACTTTTTTTTTTTTTTGGCTACAATGTCTCACTCTGTCACCCAGACTGGAGTGCAGGGTCGCAATCTCAGCTTAATGCAACCTCTGCCTCCTGGGTTCAAGCAGTTCTTCCACCTCAGCCTCCAGAGTAGCTGGGACTACAGGCACATGCTACCACACTTGGCTAATTTTTTGTATTTTAGTAGAGATGGGATTTCACCATGTTGCCTAGGCTGATCTGAACTCCTGAGCTCAGACAGTCTGCCTGCCTCAGCCTCCCAAAGTTCTAGGATTACAGGCATGAGCCACCACACCTGGCCAATGCTGACATTTAAACCCAGGAACCACACTGTGCATTTCCATTCGAGAAAGGATTTCTGTCATCCAATAAAGCCTTTAACACATCTTCTTTATGCCTGATATTAAATGTAGATTATTTAGCTTAAGAAAGGCAAATGAATTTCCTGTTTTTCTTTTCTTTTTTTTTTTCTTGAGGCAGAGTCTCACTCTGTTGCCAGGCACCAGGCTGGAGTGCAGTGGCACAATCTCGGTTCACTGCAACCTCTGCCTCCCGGGTTCAAGCAATTCTCCTGCCTCAGCCTCCCAAGTAGCTGGGACTACAGGCGCATGCCACCACACCCATTTAATTTTTGTATTTTTAGTAGAGATGGGGTTTCACCATGTTGGCCAGGATGGTCTCGATCTCTTGACCTGGTGATCCACCCGCCTCAGCCTCCCAAAGTGCTGGGGTTAGAGGCTTGAGCCACCGTGCCAGGCCGAATTTCCTGTTTTTCATGTAAACTAGTATGTTCCCTCTTAGCTGTAAATAAAACTTTACAGTAAATACAACTTTATAAGGAATTCTTCTGGCCTGGCGCTATGACTCATGCCTGTAATCCCAGCACTTTGGGAGGCCAAGGCAGGCAGATCTTGAGGTCAAGAGATCAAGACCATCCTGGCCAACGTGGTGAAACTCCATCTCTACTAAAAATACAAAAATTAGCTGGGCGTGGTGGCATGCACCTGTAGTCCCACTACTTGGAAGGCTGAGGCAGGAGAATCACTTGAACCCGGGAGGCGGAGGTTGCAGTGAGCCGAGATTGTGCCACTGCACTCCAGCCTGGTAACAAATTGAAACTCTGTCTCAAAAAAAAAAAAAAAAAATTTCTCATTTAATTCGGTGTATATCTTATAGGTTACATGGAAGCAGGTATAGTAAATTAAATACTATTGCCATATGTGGTTTTTCTTCATTATTAACTTTAAAGGGCATCCAATTTTCTTAGAAATGGCTATACCCTTTTTATTTTTATTTTTTGAGAGATGAGGTCTTCTTATATTGCCCAGGCTGGCCTTGAACTTGTGGGCTAAATCCTTCCTCCTGCAGTCCTCCTGCCTCAGCCTCCCAAGTACTTGGACTAGACATGAGCCCAGCATCTGTAACCTTTTAAGTATAGAGAGCTTTTAATTTGAAATTATGGTGGTTTTTTTTTCTGATAATTTCTAACCTGTAACAGGAGAAAACCTAGACTAGAGTTACAAATTACAGTACTAGGCTGTGATTCTATAGTTCCTATCAAGTTCCTGTGCTGTATATCAGACACACATTTAAAAAAAAAAAAAACTTTTAGGTTTAGGGGTATATGTGGTTTGTTATGTAAATAAACTTGTTTCACAGGGGTTTGTTGTGCAGATTATTTCATCAGCCAGGTACTAAGCCTAGTACCTAGCAGTTATTCTGCTCCTCTCCCTCCTCCCACCCTCCACCCTCAAGTAGGCCCCAGTGTCTGTTATTCCCCTTTGTGTCATGAGTTCTCATCATTTAGCTCCCATTTATAAGTGAGAACATGTGGTATTTGGTTTTCTGTTCCTGCATTAGTTTGCTAAACATAATGGCCTCCAGCTCCATCCATGTTCCCACAAAAGACATGGTCTCATTCTTTTCTATGGCTGCATAGTATTCCATGGTGTATGTATACCACATTTTCTTTATCCAGTCTATCATTGATGGGCATTTAAGTTGATTCCATGTATTTGCTGTTGAGAGACACATTTTTAAATTCAGTCTAAGAATAGTAATAAAATCAAACAAAATATCAATGAATGGCAGGTGTGAACTCTTTTTTTTCCCCCCAGAAAAATAATTCTGAAATCTTGACCTCTTTAAGAAACTCAAATTTGACTTTGTGTGATGGCTTATGCATGTAATCCCAGATACTCCAGAGACTTAAGCTGGAGGATCACTTGAGCCCAGGAGTTCAAGACCAGCTTCAGCAACATAGCAAGACCCTGTTTAAAATAAGAAAATTTTATTATTTCAGTTTTAATTTTTCATGGCATTTTTAAAAAGCCAAATCAGAGAACCCAATTTAAAAGGGGAATGACATTTGTTTGCTGGCTTCTGGCTGTGAATGACACCCTCAGCCAAACGGGAGCCCAAGTAGCTTTCAAGGATAATTAATTGGCCTTATGGTTTCTCATTGGTCATTCTATCGCAGAAACAAAAGATCATAAAGATCATGTAAAGGAAATCAATACCTTCTCGGTTCCCTCATTATATTGGGCAATACTATTCTTTTATAATGTCAAAAGCTGAAAAGTTTCCCAAGGAAAGGAAAATTGCGATCTTGATAGAAATTCAGAAGTAGGAGAATGGACAAAGAAAACCAGCATACAATTAGAAACAAAATGAAAATTTCCCCTCCTAGTCCCGTACATCTTAACTTCAAGTCAAGGAGTTTCTGTTCTTGCAGAGTCTGCTGCTTAAGGCAGACAGTGAAGATGATGCTGGAAGTGTAGGCTGTGGTGGGGTGAATTCCTTGCTCAGGAGTTCAGGCTTTATTGTGAGCAGTGGAAATTCAATGAGAAACGGGGAGCAGCAGAGGTCCTGAGATGTAGGGAGCACAAGAGAGTGGGTGGATCCACTAACAAGATTTACAAGGCTGTGGTTCCACCAAGCAAGTCTCAGAGCTTTATCTACCTCATGTGCAGTGTGAATGGCCAGATTTCAGCGATAGTGGGGGCTAGAATACAGAAGATAGATATAAGTATAGAAGCATTTCCCAAGTCTGTTTAGCCACAGGATCCTTATCCTCTGAGATTATTGAATAGGACACACTTTAGGAACTTCTGGAATTGGAACTGACTGGAATTACAGAGGCTCCCATAGCAGGGATTAAAAGGGGGCAGCGGGGAAGGGAGAGGTCAGAGAAGGGAAAGTTCTGAATGGATACAGAGGAGCTTAAAGGAAAGGGCAGCTTAATTAAAGGACAGTCACCTTGGACTGTGACCTACACACAGGTGTAGTGACAGGCTCAGCAGAGGGACATGATAAGTGAGCAACAGAAGGGACATACTGAATTTAGAGGTTCAAATCCCACTAGGAACTTCAGTGAAGGTGTGCTGCAGTTACATTGGCTTGGCTTGTTTAGAGAAGCCTCAGTGGGGTTATACCTACCCCAGATAAGACTGTCTTTTTCTTTTTTTCAACTTCTAGTAACAGTGAAAGTTGAGGCACCTTGGGGCAGAGTTGAAGGCTATTTCAGAAGCTCCTGTGCAGGAAGATTGCTTGGGACTGATGGTCTCTGAACAACATTCCCAGTAGCTGAGGAAGATGGGGAGGCAACTGTGGCAAGCCCATGGAAATTAGGCCCTCAGGTCTCTTTTAGAAAGAAGCAAAGTATCAATGCATGGGCCATTATAAATGTCAGTCTTTTTTATGCAAGCTTGCTGTTTGATCTGTTTGTTTTTATTCTTCCCTCCTTCATTAAGCTTTGTGTTTTATTTGCTTTAAGATTGTCCTAAAGCAGTTGGATGGGAAAAGAACCAGAAAGGAGGCATGGGACCAAGGATGGTGAACCTCAGTGAATGTATGGACCCTAAAAGGTATATTTTGGAAGTTGTTTTCTCCATTTGGACTTTTCGTAACCAGGGCACACACCAAGTTCTGTCAGGCCAACGCAGCATTGTGGAATTCATCCCAAGGGGTGCCATTCATGCTGCCATGTGTTATTCTGCTCTTTAATTGAGGTTTGGTTGTGAGAATTAATATTAACAATGGATATCCTGAAGGGCACACTGTTTGTCTGATCTAGATATTCTAAATTTTGTTCTTGTTTCAGGCTCATGCTCTCAGGCCACCAGTGTAGTGTACCTGTACTGTCTTTCTATCCTTTATGGATTGTCCTCTAGCTTGGTCCTATTGACCTACCTTTTTTTTTTTTTTTTTTCTTCTGAGACAGAGTCTCATTCTGTCACCCAGGCTGGAGTACAGTGGCACGATCTCTGCTCACTGCAACCTCTGCCTCCCAGATTCAAGCGATTCTTCTTCCTCAGCCTCCCGTGTAGCTGGGACTACAGGTGTGCATCACCACGCCTGGCTAATTTTTTGCATTTTTAGTAGAGACAGGGTTTCACCATGGTAGCCAGCATGCTCTCGATCTCCTGAGCTCATGATCTGCCCACCTTGGCCTCCCACAGTGCTGGGATTACAGGTGTGAGCTACCACACCCGGCCTTCCCACCCCCCCAAGATGGAGTCTTGCTCTGTCACCCAGGCTGCAGTGCAATGGCACTATCTCTGCTTACTGCAAACTCCATCTCCTGAGTTCAAGAAATTCTCCTGCCTCAGCCTCCCAAGTAACTAGGATTACAAGCACACACCCATACTCAGCTAATTTTTTGTATTTTTAGTAGAGATAGGGTTTCACCTTGTTGTCCAGGCTGGTCTTGAACTCCTGACCTCGTGATCCGCCTGCTTTAGCCTCCAAAAGTGCTGGAATTACAGGCATGAGACACCACGCCCTGCCCTTATTGGCCCACCTTGAAGGATATTAGAAGAAATATTTCATGGAAACCAGTACTGTATTTAAGGGTGAATCTGAGTGCACTCTTTTTTCTTTTCTTTTTCTTTTTTTGTTTTTTTTTTTTGAGATGGAGTTTTGTTCTTGTCACCCAGGCTGGAGTGCAATGGCATGATCTCAGCTTACTGCAACCTCTGACTTCCTGGTTCAAGCAATTCTTCTGCCTCAGCCTCCCGAGTAGCTGGAATTACAGGTGCCCGCCACCACACCCAGCTAATTTTTGTATTTTTAGTAGAGACAGTGTTTCACCATGTTGGCTAGGCTGGTCTCGAACTCCTGACTCAAGTGATCTGCCCACTTCGGCCTCCCAAAATGCGGGGATTACAGGCATGAGCCACTGTACCCGGCCTGAATGCACTCTTTGTTAAGGAGATATGGGAGAAATTTCTGTTTTCGGTATTAGGAAAAACTTTCCTTTTAATCAAAGGTGTGATTCCTTTAACTGGTCATGTTCTTCCCTTTTCACCTTTGCTGCTGGGAGCTCAGTATCAAATTTGTGGCCCCCACCCCCTCATTGCAGAGGACTCCAACAGCATGCTGCTGTGTGGGAGCCTTTCTCCTCCCTGCTTACCCTCCAGCTTCATCTTCTTTTTCCTTTTATCCCAATTTCCTTATTATGTATTTCTTATTTTCTTGCATAGCCACTTAATATCTTTTAGGACAAGATTATTGCACAAATTAGTGACTGAATAAGTAAATCTCTCCTTTTCTAGGTTAGCTGAGTCATCAGTGGATCTAAATCTCAAACTGATGTGTTGGAGATTGGTCCCTACATTAGACTTGGACAAGATTGTGTCTGTCAAATGTCTGCTGCTTGGAGCCGGCACCTTGGGTTGCAATGTAGCTAGGACATTGATGGTAAGTCGGGGTTGGGGGGTACAAATGGCACCTTTGAAATTGCAGCTTCTCTTCTTGTTTTACTCTCCATCTCTCAGCTCCCCCTCCCCTCCTTCTCCCCCCCCTTCCTTTTTCCTTTTCTTGTTATCTTTTTAGTTGTAAAAGAAATACAAGCTTTTGCCATCAGATAGAAACAGGAAGTCTTCTACACCCATTTTAAGTCCCATTTCTGGTTAAGTAGACTTTGTAGATTAGTATGCAGTCTCTTTCCCAGATGTTATTGTAGGCATATCTAAATATAGAGAAATCTTATCTTTGCTGATATTTATTTATATTTATAAAAATTAGATCATAACATATGATCTTTAACAGATTTTTAACTAGATAAAAAAATGACTGTGACTAGACTACCTTTCTATGTTTCCATAGTATGTATATGTGGTATTTTGTTGTATGACTATGTTCTTAATTTATTGAATCAATTTCAAGTTGCTTTGTATTTTTTTCTATTAGAGACTGTTCTCTATTAGAAAACATTCTTATACTTGTATGTTTGCATATCCATAGGATTTTTTTTTTTTTTTAGGAAAAAAGCCCTATACGTAGAATTGCTATGTTAGAGTATAGAATTTGAATATAAACATTTTAAATATTTATGTTTTTCATTAATTTTTTTTGAGACAAAGTCTTAATCTGTCACCTAGGCTGGAGTACAGAGGCATGATCTCAACTTAGGAGGTGGAGGTTGCAGTGAGCTGAGATCATGCCACTGCACTCCAGCCTGGCCTACAGAATGAGAGTCCATTTCAAAAACAAAAAATTAATTAATTGACAGAAAATATGTATGATATTATCTTATTTTTAAATCTTCTTTTTAAAAATCTTTCCATATTCCTAATGTTGTACATTTGTGGTTTTTCTTTTCTTCTCATAGCCTTACTAGAGAGACTTGTCTATTTAACCAGTCGTTTTGGAGCACTAAATACTTTATTTATTAGTTCTATAATTTTTGTTTTCTGTCTCATTTTGCTTTCAGATTCATAAATATCTACTTTTATCTTTATTAATTTTTCCCTCCTTTTGTGAAATTTATTTTACTGTCTTTCTCTAGGTTCTAAAATTATTAGATGCTTAGATTTTCCTATCACTTTTCAAAATTGCAAAGTCAACATAAAGCCATTATAGAAAATTTGTAAAGTATAAAAGTCATAAAGCAGACTTGTCACTTTCCAATGTTTAATATGTGTTTTAACATTTTATTAGACATATAATAATGTCCTTTGCTGTTACCAATTAGCATGTCATTAAAAATGATGTCTGTCTATGAAGCTTTCTTTTTATTTTTGAGCCTTTGCTGCCCAGGCTGGACTGGACCTTGTGATCTTCCCACCTCAGCCTCCTGAGTAGTCGGGACTGCACAAGTTCACTGCCATGCCTGTTAAAGCTTTATGACTATAGAATATGCCTTCTTATATGATGAAACATAACTTACTGTATCCTTCTCCTCTTTGGATTTAACATTGTTTCCAGTTTTTTACAATTGTAAATTGTGCTGCAGAGCATCTTTGTGACTGCATCTTGGTCAGTGTGTCAGATTATTTCTTAGGATAAATTGCTGGAAGTAGGTCATAGGATAATGGGTATTCTTAAGATTCTAGAAACATATTGCCAAATTGATTTCCAAAAAGACTAGACCACTTTAACATTCTCAGTCAGTAAGATGGTTTTCTTCTCCCTACCACATCCTCACCAGCATTGAGCATTGTAATTTTCTTTAATCTTTGCAGATTAGCCATTTAAACTGTGTAGCATTCCAGGAAACCAAAAGTTAAGTGTGCAAATACACCTGCATGTGACTAACCTATGGCATGTTTGTAATGTATCTGGCTTCCTTCCTACTACCCAGCACGTTCCCAGTTTGCCTTCCTTGCTATCCATTCATCAGTTGCTTTAAGGAATGCAAAAATACTTCAGAAATAAACATCCCCAAAGCAAGCACAAGTGACTTTATTCTCCCTCCATGGTAGGTTGCTTAGATTATGAAAATAATTTACAAAACTGGGTGGTAGACCAAAGGTTACCAGTGGGCTTCAAAACAGCCAGTCTAATCTATGCATATAAATGGCAGATTCTGTCCTGTTCTCAACCCTGAAAACGAATAGTGGGTCCTGGTTGGCTGGACCTCTGAAACCTTTTATCTAATTGAGTGTCTCAGTTTCTAATGGAAAGATATTGAAATAAGAGCCAAATCTTAGCTTTGTAGCCAGTCATGGCAGGATGTCTCTTAGGTCACTAATACTTATTTATGATATACTACAATATACCCACCATACCCTACCCCAAGAAGTAGGCAACTTCATTTAGTTGCAACTTTGGAGAGCTCATTCATTCCCACCATTAACCAGATGTACGCCTTAGGCAAATCACTTATCTCTCCCAGGCATCAGTTTCCACATCTGGAAAACAAAGTAATTGGACTAAGGATTTTAGAGATCCCAACCACCTTTAAAATTGTATGGTTCTATAAAACTGCTATAGAAGACATCACTGAAGCCTATAAAACCATGAAAACGATTTCTAAGAATATAGACTTGTTCCCTAAATTCCAGATTATTAATAAGGCTCTGCCTCTTGAATAAATGGTACAAAATTTTCTAACATATACAGTAGGAAATAACTTGTGAGTCATTTTTTCTTAGGAGTTTATTCAGGCTTTAAATGAGTTTCAAGAATAGTTGTTATTTACACTTACTTATTCTTTAAGGGAAATCAAGGACATTTAGGGGCTATTGCTAATCTTTTTAAAACAACAACATAGACAATTCTTATGGGATTCACCTCCAAATCTTTGGTGACACTGTCAAAAATAATGAATTATTAGTCCCACTTTAACATTTTTTAATCTCGTTACTGCAGGAAACCAGGCACTGAGTATGTAATTATGTTGTTTTTTTAAGGAAAGTCAACATTCTGTTTATCATAAACTGAATTTACACAATTCAGTTTCTGAGGTTTCTTCTGTTTTGAGGTTCCCAAGCTTCTTCAAAGCAAGACTACTTTTGAGATTTCAAGAGACAGCACCCTGTGAAATGTTTATCAGAAACACACCATGATCTCCTGTTTCCACACAGGGTTGGGGCGTGAGACACATCACATTTGTGGACAATGCCAAGATCTCCTACTCCAATCCTGTGAGGCAGCCTCTTTATGAGTTTGAAGATTGCCTAGGGGGTGGTAAGCCCAAGGCTCTGGCTGCAGCGGACCGGCTCCAGAAAATATTCCCTGGAGTGGTATGTTGATTCTTTTTCAGAGGTTTTCTGTTATATCTATAAATGTTTAAGTCTTGAGAAATGAGGCCCTGTGGCATTGAAGAAAGAGAGTCAAACATCTGTCACTTTCCACTAGGTTCTTGCCATGTGGCTAAGCCTCTGTTTCCTCATCTCAGAGAGGAATAAAAAAACATAACCAGGCCAGGCATGGTGGCTCATTCCTGCAGTCCCAGCACTTTGGAAGGCTATGGCAGGAGGCTTACTTGAGCCCAGGAGTTCAAGACCAGCCTGGGCAACATAGTGAGACCCTTTAAAATAAAATTAGCCAGTTATGGTGGTGGTTTGTACCTGTAGTCCCATCTACACTAATGGCTGAAACAAAAGGATTACTTCAGCCTAGGAGGTCAAGGCTGCAGTGAGCTGTGATCATGCCATTGCACTCAAGCCTGGGTGACAACGCAAAACCCTGTCTAAAAAATAAAAATAATAAAACCAGGCTTGGTGGCTCACGCCTGTAATCGCAGGACTTTGGGGGGCTGAGGTGGGCCGATCACGAGGTCAGGAGTTCAAGACCAGCCTGGCCAATATGGTGAAACCCTGTCTCTACTTTAAAAATAAAAAAATTAGCCGGGTGTGGTGGTACACACCTGTAGTTCCAGCTGCTTGGGAGGCTGAGGCAGGAAAATCACTTGAACTCAGTAAGCAGAGGTTGCAGTGAGCCAAGATTGCATCTCTGTACTCCAGCCTGGTCAATAGAGTGAGACTTTGTCTCAAAAATAATAATAATAATTAATAATCTGTCTCACATATTCTTGTGAAAATGAAATGAGGAATGTATGAAGAAATGTTTTGTAGGTTGCAAAGCATTATGAGTTTAAGTTGAACTTAGGAGTATATATATTTTTATATCCTGCCTGGTTCCAAAGAGATTTACAGTGGCTCAGATCTAAGATATTGTTTTTCCTCCATCACCAGAATACTTGGTAGTTACTTAGTACAGGTTTATGAAATTAAATGGAATGCAAGTCTTCATGCAGAAGAAAGATTGGGCTGAAAGTTTAGCTTTTTGCTCTAGCTGCCTCTGGTTTTTGAGTTATATCGTTAGAAATACCAGATAACAAGAGAAAAGTCATTCAACTTTTTTTATTTAAAATTTTGACATTTTCTTTTTTTAAGGCCAACCAGCAAATGATATTCTGCCTCTTGAATACTTAATCAGTTTATCTGACAGGAGTTAGATAAACTGCAGAGCATCTGCTTATACTTAAAGTGCCGGAAGAGGTTCTCAGTCCTAACCAAAAAATAAAAAAGCCCATTTTCTCAAGGCTTCTCCCTTTAGTCACTTTGTGTTAGATTTATCCATTTTAAAAATCGTTGCTTTGGAAGCACTGCTAATGTTTTGTCCATTTCACCAGAGTCCCTGAGGAATGCCATTTATTGGGTTTAACAGTATTGATTGACCACCCACTATGTAGCCAGCTATGTGCTAGATGCTGAAAGAAATCAGCTGGCCAGGTGTAGTGGCTCTTGCCTGTAATCCCAGCATTTTGGGAGGCTGTGGTGGGTGGATCACCTGAGGTCTGGAACTCAAGGCCAGCCTGGCCAACATGGTGAAACCCCATCTCTACTAAAAATACAGAAAGTTAGCTGGGTGTCATGGCAGGCGCCTGTAATCCCAGCTACTCAGGAGGCTGAGGCAGGAGAATCGCTTGTACCGGGGCGGTGGGGCAGAGGTTGCAGTGAGCCAAGATCACACCATTGCACTCCAGCCTGGGCAACAAAAGCGAAACTCCATCTCAAAAATAAAGAAAAAAAGAATAAGTTGGAACCCTGTCATTGAGTAGGCGTGCATATTAGTTAGGTTTCTGCTGTGACAATATTTCATGTCACGTAATCCCAAAATCTCAGTGGCTTACAATTGCAAACATTTGTTTCACATTCATGGGTGTGCAGGTTGGCTGTGGTTCAGCTGTGTCACTAGGCTGAACTTATTCAATAAGCCACATAGCTTCGAGTCAGGTTCCAGACCATTGTATGTGTTATTTTCAAAATCTAGGCTAGAGGAGGAACAGTCATTTGGGTGCTACTCTTCCGATGGTAGAAAGTATAAGCTTAAAAAGCTTGGTGATTATTATGCCTTAAAGTCTCAGCTCAACAACAGTACAGGGTGATGTCTTCCATTTCTATTACCAAAGTAAGTCACAGAACCAAGGCCAAAGTCAATGACATTGGTCGATGTATTCCTCCTAGTAGGAGGTCTTGCAAAGGTCATGTTGCAAAGAGTGGCGATATATAACATTACTAGAGGGAGGAGGTGCCTAGTTGGGAAGAATAATCCAGTCTAGGCTGTGCACAATGGCTCAAGCTTTTAACCCAGTGCTTTGGGAGGCCGAAGTGGAGGAGATCGCGTAAAGCCAGAAGTCTGAAACCAGCCTGGGCAACCTAGTGAGACCCTAGCTCTAAAAAAAAAAATCCAATCTATCATTGGAAGTATTATAAACTCCCTTCAGGACCCTCCCTTCAGACAGACCTGGCTTTGAACCTGAGCTCTGTCACTTATTAGACACCTGCAATTTTTGTTTACCCAAATCCTAGTCATTGTCAGTAACCCAATACAATTTCCCCTTCCCCCTGTTTATTTGTTTAGTTATTCTATTGCTTACTTGTTTGTCAGGTAATGTATTTAAGACCTACTATATTCTAGGGACAGGGGAACTAGACGGGCATAGTTTCCTCTCCCTTATGTGGAGCTTAAAGTCTAGTTGGGGATGGTCATTAACAAATAATTTCACAAATACTTACCATCGTAATACATTCAGGAAGCAGGAGCTCAGTTGCCATGAGAATATATAACAGGTAGGGCTGACCTAGATGAGGGGTGGGCTGGGAAGACTTTTGAGGAAACAAACCCCTGAAGGTTGAGTGAGAGTTAGCTAGATTGAGTGTAGTGGAGCTGTCTGTTCAAATGCCTGGATAGGGTGAGCATGGTACTTTTGTGGAACTGAAAGAAAACCAGGGTGGTTGAAACATAGAGGTCAAGGAAGATGAGGAGGAAGAGGAGGCTGAGTTATGCTGGGCCTGAGACAGCAAGTCCAACTGTTCCTGGAAACAACCCTCCATCTTAATAGTCCCTGAGGGACTATTAAGTCTTTCATACTTTTATCCTTCATGCCTTATAAATAATAGTAGATAATATACACAGCTCACCAAAATACTAGTGTAATTCATCACATTCATGAAAAATACTTGTGAAACTATTTAACTTACTGGTTAGCCAGCCTTAAGGGGTTTTCCTTATATGTTTGATTTAGTGTAGTTTTTTCATTCAATGGATACTTATCACCTTTCTTTTCTTTTTTTTTTGAGACAGCGTCTTGCTCTGTCACCCAGGCTGGAGTACAGTGGCACGAACTTGGCTCACTGCAACCTCTGACTCCCTGGTTCAAGAGATTCTCCTGCCTCAGCCTCCCAAGTAGCTGCAATTACAGGCACGTGCTACCATGTCCAGCTAATTTTTGTATTTTTAGTAGAGACGGGTTTTCACCATGTTGGGCAGGATGATCTCGATCTCCTGACCTCAGGGGATCCACATGCCTCAGCCTCCCAAAGTGCTGGGATTACAAGTATGAGCCACCAGGCCTAGCCTCATCACCTTTCTTATACCAGTCCATGGAGAAAAGGCTAGACCTTAGTGAACACGACATGGTTCTGCTCTCATCGAGCTTATATTTTATTGAATTGAAATGCTAAATGCTAAAAAGGATAAGTAGACATTGCCTAGGAAATACAGAAGAACAGGTGTGGGGGTCCAAGGAAAGCCTTCTTAGAGGTGACATTTGGTCCAAGCTCTGAAGGAATTTATCAGGGGAAGGGGTCTTGGGGAGGGAGGCAAGGAGCAGAGAGTAGTGGGAAAGGCCAGGGGCCAGGAGCCAGGAGGAGCATTCCAGGGTAGAAAAGTGGCCTTTTGCTGTGTTAAATGCAGACTTCCCAGATAGCTGGTTACCTGAAAAAAGTTAGAAAGATTGGTTTTATTAATGCAAGATTATCTCATTTGGGCCATCCCTAACTTGTTAAGTTATTGCAAGATTCTAATCTCAGTGCTTGAAGTTCAGTGACATTTGACTTGGAAAAGAAAAAAATAATGGGTGAAACACCCTTTACAAATGTTTAAATTTTGAAATAGTGGATTCATAGGAAGTGATTTGGTTTGGATGTTTGTCCTCTCTAGATCTCATGTTGAAGTGTGATCCTCACTGTTGGAGGTGGGGCCTGGTGGAAGCTGTTTGGGTCATGGAGGTAGATTCCTCATGAATGGCTTGGTGCCCTCCCCACATTAATGAGTGAGTTCTCGATCTCCTAGTTCACTTGAGCAAGAGCTAGTTGTTTGAAAGAGTCCGGAATCTCTCTTGCCATGCTAGTTGTTTGAAAGAGTCCGGAATCTCTCTTGCCATGTGATGCACCTGTTCCTTCACCTTTCACCACGTGTGGAAGCTTCCCTCATCAGAAGCAGATGCTAGTACTATACTTCTCGTACAACCTGCAGAACCATGAGCCAAATAAACCTTTTTTCATTATAAATTACCCAGCCTCAAGTATTCCTTTGTAGCAATATGAAATGGACTAACACAGGAAGTACAAAGAAGTGTACCAGGAGATCATGCTTCTCCTGGGTGACAGACCTCAAGGACAGGGTGGTTTCACTGGATAGCTGGTCTGAAATACTTTAAACACTCCCTCAGAACTATAGAGTTGACTTTTGATTTTTGATCTAAAATATATTTAACCCAAACTAACCGTATTCTGGCCCCAGACCTTCAAGTATCTTCAATGTCAGCTCATAAGAAACCCTTGCATTTTATCTACATGGTATTCGTTGAGTAATTCCTTCTCTTCTACTCCAGAATATAGGTGTCACATTGACCCTGTCTAGGTGCCTTTTAATAAGCTCTGATAAACCAAAATAAGAAAGAAAAAAAAAGCTATGATAAGGCCAGGCATGGTGGCTCATATCTATAATCCCAGCACTTTGGGAGAGTGAGGTGGGCGGATCACCTGAGGTCGGGAGTTCAAGACCAGCCTGACCAACATAGAGAAACCCTGTCTCTACTAAAAATACAAAGTAAGCTGGGCGTGGAGGCTCATGCCTGTAATCCCAGCTACTCAGGAGGCTGAGGCAGGAGAATCGCTTGAACCCAGGAGGCAGAGGTTGCAGTGAGTGGAGATCACACCATTGCACTCCAGCCTGGGCAGCAAGAGCAAAACTCCATCTCAAAAAAAAAACTATGATAAAATTATATGAAAATAACTGCTCTGCTACAAAGACCACGCCTGATCCTGGGGAAGAATTAATTAATTGAATACAAAAATAACTGATCTTTTATAAATCAAACAGCTATTTGAGGCAATAAGATGTCGGATTATGGAGCCACACTTGAGGTTTTAAAACCCAAATCCGGATATCTGCTTCAATCCTGATGAGTAACAGATACTGGACTAGCTCTGCCACCATCAACAGTTACGCACCTGGACAAAATACATAAAATGACACTTTCAGACAGTGAACAGTAGGTTGTGAAAGACATAGTCCCAGACAGAGTGTAAGATAGATTTTTCCCAGCTTATTACATGAAGGCACTTTGTGGCCTATGCCACAGCCTGTGGAGCCCAGGGAGATACTCTTGGTCTTGGTGAGCTGAAGAAATAACCAGAGTTCAGAGCAGCTGAGATGGCTAGAATTTGCAGGACATGGTACCAGAAATGAGGGAGCTGTGCGCAGGAGTGTCTCAGTAGGACCTTGAGTCTTCGACTGAGTAGTGAGCTGTGTGTACTCACAGCCGACTCTATCAGATCAGGCAAAAAACACCATCAGACAGCTATGAGCAAAATGGAGATTCCAGAGCTCATGTGAACTGTGAGACACTGGAGTCCTAACTATACAGAGTGGAGAGACCATTGAATACTCTGAGCCCTTAAGTGACACCCAGAATGGCCCCTATAAAGTTTCTAGAAGAAAGCATCTTAGTGGTCTTGTGATATATAAAGATTTCTTAGGACCTAGTAAATATCATAAGTAAAAAATGGTAACTTAGTTGACTTTTTAAAAATTTTAAACTTCAGCTTCTCAAAAGATGCCTTTCAAAGAATGAAAAAGCTAGCCAAACTGAGAAGACAGGTACAGTCTTCTTTTATCCAGAATACATAAGATAACTCCTACCACTCAAGAAGACAGACAAACCAACTTTTTTTTTAAGGGGCAAAATGCTTGAACAGATACTTAATTAATAGTGAAGATCTATGAATGGCTAGTGAGCATGTGAAAATGCTCAACATCAATAGTCATCAGGGAAATACAAATTAAAGCCAGAGAGATACATCACTGTACACCTACTAAAATGGCTAAGATTAAGAAGACTGACAATGCTAAATGTGGTCTGGGTGTGGAGCAACCAAAACTCTTGTACTTTGCTGGTAAAACAACTACTTTGGAAATCTCATTAAATTTAACATCTGCCTACCTTGTGACCCAGAAATTGTACTTTTAGATCTTTACCTAAGAGAAATGAAAATATACATACATGAAAATACTTATACAAAAGTGTCCATAGCAACTTTATTCAAAATAGCCCAAATGTAGAAATAACCCAAATCACCATCAACAGAATTGATAAACTGTAGTATAATTATACCACAAAATAAATGTATTATTGATACTTAACAATATGAGTGAACCTCAAAAGCATTATGCTGAGCAAAAGAAGCCAAACATAGACAAGTATATACCCTAGCATGTCATTTATGTGAGGGTTTAGAATAGTCTCATCTATGGCTAATGAAGTCAGACAGTTGTTACTGGGGGCAAGTGGGGACCGACTGAGGGGGATCACAAGAGCATGTTCTGGGGTCATGGAAATGTTCTATATCATGGTAGCTGTATGCAGTGGTTAATCTACCATTTGTCAGAATATATTGAACTGTGCATGTGAGATCTGTGTATTTCACTTTATGTAAATTATACCTCATCCTGATTACCCTTTTGAATCATCAAGGGAGTTATAGAAAATATTGATGCCTGGGCTCATTCCCAGAGATTTCCATTTAAATGTTCTGGGGAAAAGGCCGGGACTTATACTTTCTAGGTGGTTCTGATATACAGCCAGGTAGAAAACCACTGTGTTGAAAGTTGATGAATTCCAGCCTCTGGGGTGTGAACATAATTGATGGGCCGTTTTGTCAGCTTACTGGCTGAAATTTTAGCAAGTAGAGACTCATTCAGGTTACCAGAGTTGCTTTATTATTTAAAAGTCCAACATTGGTATTGCATAATTATGCTTACATCTTGGTGTCATGAAAATACATACATAATACAGTTCTTTGGATCAAGTTACCACCATTTAACATGCTTTGTCAATTGTAGTATGCCAGTAAGGTATTGCAGGTATTGTTGTTGCTTTTATTATGGCTTATTACAGTATTTGGTACATGGTAGGTGCATAATACTTAGTCTATTAATTAATGAGCTCCTGATAGTTGTGGTCTCATTGTTAAAATGGACGTGTTTCTGTACCTTTCTTTTTCCTGAAATCCTCGCTGCCTGATATCCTTTCCTGCTTTGCTTGCCACTCTTTTTTCTTTCCTTTTTAAATTGTTTTTCTTCCTTTTGAATTCCAGATATTAGGTTTAAAGTTGAAGATAATGAAAAAGTATCCACAAACTACAAATTTGGTATTTCTTTGTAAAAAGATCTGCTTGTCCTGTCCCTTGAGCTATTTTTTCAGTAGGTGAGGGGTTTGGCAAATGAGTGAAAAAGCTGATGTTTTCAAACACTTCCCTATGGCCAGGGGCTAAGGGTGCAGTTTATGATTCTAGAACATATTCTTTTTTTGTGGAAAGTCAGTGTCCCTGGCTTCATTATTAGCACTCATATGTGACTCACTGTTAATGTGCCAAAATATTATGAGGTCATCAAGGGGCAGATGGCAGATTATAGAGCTGTTCTAAAGCCCGTGTAAAAAATCCCAATTCAGGGGAACTCAGGTTGCTGGACAGCTTCTGCATTTGGACAGAGTGAAGCCTTACTCTGTTCCACACTCTGCCATCACCCACCATAACTCCTTCCCCCACAAAAATATCTGCATACTCCTAAGTAGATTTTCTGGCTCTAAATTACCAAATAGAGTTTTTTGTTTTGGGGTTTTTTAAATGCATATACCCTTGAAGGATTAAGGCAAAATCATCAGTCATTCTAATCCCCAGCAATTTGGAGGCTGAGGCAGAAGGATTCCTTGAGCCCAGGAGTTCAAGACTAGCCTAAGCAACATAGTGAGGCCTTATTTCTATTAAAAATAAAAAAAATCAGCCAGGTGTGGTGACGTGTGCCTGTAGTCCCGGCTACTTGGGAAGCAGAGGTGGGAGGACCCCTTGAGCCCAAGAGGTCAAGGCTACAGTGAGCTGTGATTGTGCCATTGCCATCTAGCCTAGGTGACAGAGCAAGACCTTGTCTTTAAAAAAAAAAAAAAAAGAGGTACTTGAATAGCCAGAAGGTGCTCTGATAAAGTTTCTTGGCCTTGGATGGCTGGAAAGAGCCAAAGATACACAGTTTTCTCCAGTGTTTTCCTTACCTCAGGTAGAATGTGCCCTCTCTACTTTGGGACTGAGATCCGTATGTCTCTGCTTGCTGCCCCGCGCTGCCTGCCCTGCCCTGCCCTGCCTCAGAGCCCTGGGGTGATAAATCAAGGTGTTCTAGGATGCAGAGGTAAAGAAGAGAGACATGGGAAGGGTACAGCATAATAGTGCACAGGGAGATCTCATGTAAGCGACCACAAGTATGTGCAGGCAGCTGTGGAAAGTGTGGGCTCTGAGATAGTGCCTATACCATTGCTCCAGAGATAACTACATCCTGGTGTTTCCATAGAATGCCAGGGGATTCAACATGAGCATCCCCATGCCTGGGCATCCAGTGAACTTCTCCAGTGTCACTCTGGAGCAAGCCCGCAAGGATGTGGAGCAACTGGAGCAGCTCATCGAAAACCATGATGTTATTTTTCTGTTGATGGACACCAGGGAGAGCCGGTGGCTTCCTGCCGTCATTGCTGCAAGCAAGAGAAAGGTAGGTACTGTCTCCGATTACGATTTAATACACCACCACCCCAGAGGAAGGAGTGTCCCTAACCTTCCCTTCCCCAGGGCAGAGATGTGGCTTGTGACCTGGTAGCACAGTGCCAAAGGGCTTCTGCTTCAGACTGTCTTTGCCTTGCACACCATCACCCAATGTAATAGGTATCATTTACTGCTTAATTTTCATAATAATCTTCTAAGATACTCTACACTGAAAGGTATACTGTATTTACATTAAAATGTAAGCTCCAAGAGGTCAGAGACTTTGTCTTATTCACTACTACTTGGTCAATGACAACTAAAAGGGCCAACAGTATTCAATAGTGAACTAAATCATGGTGCATACCTATAATGGAATAGTATGCAGCTATTCACAGTTATGTTTTCAAAGGATTTTAATAAGATGGAAAATGTCACATTATATTAAAGAAGATACAATATGATATATATTTTGTACTAATTATGTTTATATATAAACATTTATATATGTCTTCCTATCTGTCTACTGAGAGAGAAGAGAGGAAGAGGGCAAGAAGAAAAGAGAAAGAGAAAGAATGGGAGGGAAAGGGAGAAAATAGTAGGAAGAAATACCCCAAATTATTAATAGTAATTTTTTGAGCTGTGGGTTGTGAGTGATTTTTGTTTTCTTTTGTAGTGTGGTTATTCTTTATTTTTCAAAGTTTCTATATAATCAGAAATTTGGGATAATAAGTTAAATTAGAACTATGAAAAGTTGTTAGAATATAATTTAAAAATAGTTTCTAAAAAAATCCATGTGTTGGGCTGGACATGGTGGCTCACATCTGTAATCCTAGCACTTTGGGAAGATTGCTTGACCCAGGAGTTTGAGACTAGACTGGGCAACATGGTGAGACTGTCTCCACAAAAAAAGACAAAAAATTAGCAAGGTGTGTTAGTACACACCTGTGCTCCTAGGTACTTGGGAGGCTGAGTTAGGAAGATCACTTGAGCCTGGGAGGTAGAGGCTGCAGTGAACTGAGATCATGCCCATTGCAGTCCAGTCTGTGCAACAGAGGGAGATCCTGTCTCAAAAAAAGAAACAAAAAAGAAAACTACACGGAGCCAGGCATGGTGGCATGTGCCTGTAAGTCCAGCTACTGGGATACCAAAAAAAAAAAAAAAAATTGGGCCAGGTGCAGTGGCTCATGCCTGTAATCCCAGCACTTTGGGAGGCTGAGGTGGGCAGATCACAAGGTCAAGAGATCAAGACCATCCTGGCCAACATGGTGAAACCCCGTCTCTACTAAGAATAGAAAAATTAGCTGGGTTTGGTGGCACACACCCAGCTACTCAGGAAGCTGAGGCAGGAGAATCACTTGAACTGAGGAGGCAGAGGTTTCAGTGAGCCGATATTGTGCCACTGCACTCCAACCTGGGCGGCAGAGCGAGACTCTGTCTCAAAAAAAAAAAAAAAAAGTCTATGTGAAGGGTGGATTATATGGTATGTGAATTATATCTCAGTAAAGCTGTTATAAAAACAGATCTAAGCCAGGCACGGTGGCTCATACCTGTAATCCCAGCACTTTGGGAGGCCGAGGCTGGGTGATCACTTGAGGTCAGGAATTCAAGATAAGCCTGGCCAACATAGCAAAACCCCGTCTCTACTAAAAGTATAAAAATTAGCCAGGTGTAGTAGTGGGTGCTTGTCATCCCAGCTACTTGGGAGGCTGAGGCAGGAGACTCACTTGAACCTGGGAGGCAGAGGTTGCAGTGAGCCAAGACTGTGCCATTGCACTTTAGTCTGGGCAACAAGAGCGAAACTCCATCTCAAAAAAAAAAAAAAAAATCTGTGTGGACATGACAGTATAGCATAATGGTGGAAAGAATGGGTTTGAGAACTATGTAGACTTGGTTTTACATACCTACCTCTTGCCAGTTAAGTGACCTTGGGCAAGTTATAGAACTAACTTCTCTGACTTTCAGTATCCTCATCTGTAAATGAGAAATGTTTGTTATGAGGTTTTTTTTGTTGTCGTTGATAGAATCTTGCTTTGTTGCCCAGGCTGGAGTGCAGTGGCATAATCTCGGCCCACTACAACCTCCACCTCCCGGGTTCAAGCGTTTCTCGTGCCCCTGCCTCCTGAGTAGCTGGGACTACTGCTCAGCTAATTTTTTGTATTTTTAGTAGAGAAGTGTTTCATCATGTTGCCAGGCTGGTCTTGAACCCCTGAGCTCAGACAGTCTGCCTGCCTCGGCCTCCCAAAGTGCTGGGATTAATTACAGGTATGAGCCACCATGCCAGGTCTGTTAGGAGTTTCAAATGAAATTAAATGAGATAATTTATGTTTATCACTTATCAAGTCTTTTGTACTTAATAAGCCCTCAGTAGTGGGTAGCTTTTATCATCATTAGCTTTTAGAATCTAATTACACTTACATGCAAAAAATAAATTTTAAAAAGTTGAGCAAATATGGGATTAGCCACAGTTTGTGGCTATATGTGTTTTTTAACTCTGCTCTTTTATTCCTTGAAACCTGTAGCTGGTCATCAATGCTGCTTTGGGATTTGACACATTTGTTGTCATGAGACATGGCCTGAAGAAACCAAAGCAGCAAGGAGCTGGGGACTTGTGTCCAAACCACCCTGTGGCATCTGCTGACCTCCTGGGCTCATCACTTTTTGCGAACATCCCTGGTTACAAGCTTGGCTGTTACTTCTGCAATGATGTGGTGGCCCCAGGAGATGTAAGTGGATTTCTCTATAGTTTCAAATATTTCCTATGACCAACTTGTGCACTGGGCAGACAGACACAGCCCTTTCACTTATGACTATTTAAAAATTATCTTTTAACAAAGAGAAGAATTCTCCAATTTGGGGAGGATGGTATTCTCTCACTATGAACCTTGACTAGTGTCATCAACTGTACAGCTGTTCCTTGTTCACCAATACAAAGGCAGCTACAAACCATATTTTTGGAAAGCTTATTGAGGAAACCACAGCCGACTAGTCCCTGATAGCACTCAGTATTGTCTCCTGTGTTTCTCTTAGTCAAGACAGTATTAGAAATGAGGAGTCTAAAGACCAGATTCCATCAATGGCTTGACACTGCCTCCTAGGTAATTCCAAAAAGTCTCTTAGGTTCCCTCTGCCTCTGCAAAATAGGAGTGGTGTGGAGGCTTGTCAGATTTAGTAAGTAAAAGTATAGGATTCCCAGCTAATTTTGAATTTCAGTTAGTAATGAATAATTTTTTAGTATATGTCCCATATAATATTCAAGACCCATTTATACTAAAAATTTATTTATCTGAAATTCAGGTTTAGCTAAGTGTCTTGTATTTTCCCTGGCAATGCTAATAAGGCAAGGGAGAATACTTTCCCTGTCAACTCACAGTGCAAAGTGGGTCAAGTGCATCAATGCTTTGAACAGCAAGACCACACCGTACAAATTAAGAGTCTATGGCTTTCAGGTCTTCATACAAGTCAGTCTGTAGGACTATTCCTTTATCAGAACCGATAATAATTCCAGGAAAGCAATGCAGAGATGTTTTCTGTAAACTCCCCTCTATTTTACCTTTGTTTTAAAACATTTTCCTTAATAGCTCATACCTCTTTTGGATAACTGGCTTTTATGTCCTCCCAATATAAAGAAAAGAAGATGACCATTCTCTTATATGAAGAAGGATGGCTTGATGATCTCTGTCATGGTGTTATAATATACAGCTGGTTTTGTTATTTAGTTGTTGCCAACAAAGTATGATTAGTGGTCCCTTGCAGTAAAGTCCCATCTGCTTATATGGTAAAATTTTCATAGTCAAAAATATCCCTGACAACCCCTTAATTTACCCAGAGTTGGATGGTTAGAATCTGTTTGCTTGAACCAGCAAAGGCTTGTGTTTAGAGCCATGCTGTAGAAAAAAAATACTTGTAGTAAACCCTAGAATCACACTGAGAGAGAGGCGTTGCCCATGTTGTGAGAGACACATAGAAGCTGAGGGCTGCAGGGAGAGTAAATTATTGCTCCCATCTCACGGTCACTCTGAGGTGTTATCTCAGTTAAAATGGCAGGGCAGAATCACTTGTACTATTCAAATCATGGTTCCGTCTGTGTCTCTGTCACTTAACAACCAAGCACAATAGAATTGAATTGAGTCACTTAAAGGAGCACATGATGCAGTTCCATTATATGAGGCAGCTAAGCTCCAATTTTTGGTTGATATCCCCCAATCTAATTTGTTTAAGCTGCTAATCCTTTTTAGCATATTACCTCACTTAGTTACCTAAATTGTATATTTTGTTTATCTTGATAATCCCAAGAAATGATATGACTTGAGGCTGGATGTTCTTTGCCAACAATGAGTATCTGGTTATATTTTAAAGCTCTGTCACAGAGGCGTTTCATACTTGAGACAGCTAGAGTTGAATGGAGTAGAATGTTCAGCACACATCAGTGATTGTTTCTTTGCAGTCAACCAGAGACCGGACCTTGGACCAGCAGTGCACTGTGAGTCGTCCAGGACTGGCCATGATTGCAGGAGCCCTGGCCGTGGAATTGATGGTATCTGTTTTGCAGCATCCAGAAGGGTGAGTTTGCTAGTAGGAGATGAGTATTTAAACATAGCTTTCGTAGGCAGTCATTCATCAGTGTCTACGTTGGCCTTTTCTTAGTCTGACTTTTCAGAGAATTACTACTTTATCCTCAAAAAAATAAGATTAGAAAAAGTAGGTCTAGTTCTTTGGGCTGAGAGAACTTGACATGTTTCCTTTGGGGCCACATTTCCGCACCCTTCTGGACGAACTCATTATGGTTTATTTTCTTTTTCTAACACTTACATAGTGCTTACTTTGTGCTAGGCACTGTTCTAAGCACTTTAGAAATATTGCCTCCTTTAATCTTTTTTTTTGAGACAGAGTTTCACTCTTTTTGCCCAGGCTAGAAGGCAATAGCATGATTTTGGCTCACTGCAACCTCTCTGTTCCAGGTGCAAGTGATTTTCCTTCCTCAGCCTCCCAAGTAGCTGGGATTACAGGCATGTACCACCATGCCTGGCTAATTTTTGTATTGTTAATAGACACGGGGTTTCGCCATATTGGTCAGGCTGGTCTTGAACCTCTGACCTCAGTAATCAGAGGTGATCCACCCGCCTCGGCCTCCCAAAGTCCTGGGATTGCAGGCATGAGCCATCACACCCGGCCTCCTTTAACCTTCATAGCAAACCTATTAGGAAAGAACTATTATTATTAATCCCAGTTTTGATGGGGAAATTGAGGCATAGTGAGGATAAGTTAAGTGGCCAAATTCACATAGTAAATGGAAAAGCCAGGGTTTAACTTAACCAGTGTGGTGCTAAACTATGTTTAACCATTTTGTTAAGCTGTTTGCAGTACAGGCAGCAGAAAATTGAATTTTTGAAAGACTTATTTTTCCAGTTCTCAGAAAGTCAATATGCAAATTAACATGAATATTCTATTTCTTGTGTGACTATGACTAAGAGTTTTCCTCAGCAGTTGAAAATTGTGGTCGCATATATAACTAGTATGGGTTCTCTGAGGTAAACGAAAAGCAGGGTTTTTTTGCTTTCCTCTTTGTCATCTACCTTAGCTATCTCAGTCATTTAAGTTCATTGCTACCCACTGACAGGAAATATTTGGAATAAAATCTTTGAGAGCTGATTTTTTGCTTCCTTGACACTGACCTGTCTGCTACATTTACCCTGGTCATAGTTTAAACACCAGGTCCTGTGTCACATCTCTTTGGTGACACAAGTTTCACTCCATTGTTCAGAGAGTGCATTGGTTCTGCCCAATTCATTCCTCACTTTTATTTCCTCTTCCTCCATTTTATTAGCATTCATGTCAGCTCAAACGGTTAAGGTCAGAAAATTTTCCACTCCAAATTTGCAGTACAGAAACGTGCTGTGAGGTTTGACAAGACTATCTCATAGTTAGTGAATTGTTTATTGGCCTGTCATATGCCAAACATTGCACTTGGCAATTGATGTAGTAGATTCCTCTTTTTTTTTTTGAGACAGAGTCTCACTCTGTCACCCAGGCTGGAGTGCAGTGTCACGATCTTGTCTCACGGCAACCTCTGCCTCCAGGCTTCAAGCAGTTCTCCCTCAGCCTCCTGAGTAGCTGGGATTACAGGCATGCGCCACCATGCCCACCTAATTTTTGTATTTTAGTAGAGAGAGGGTTTCACTATGTTGGCCAGGCTGGTCTCAAACTCCTGACCTCATGATCCACCCGCCTCGGCCTCCTAGAGTGCTGCGATTACAGGCGTGAGTCACCACATCCGGCCGATTCCTCATTTATTAATCACAGCTCCCTCATTCCTACTTTATTAATGACGGACCTGAAGCACAGACAAGTTAAGCAACTTGCCTATGGTCACAAACTCGGGTCTTTCTGACTCCAAACCATGCATTTTAAAATTACTCTTCTTGCCTCTTGTCCCAGGAAAATTAGGCTTTTGCTAACTTCCACTGCCCAGCAAGGGGCATTTTAGTTATCCTTATAAATCTTACGAGGACTTATGCTACATCATCCTCCCATGTGTTAAACTTGGATTAAATAAGCAGCTCTGATTATTTCCTGTCCTCAGGGGCTATGCCATTGCCAGCAGCAGTGACGATCGTATGAATGAGCCTCCGACCTCTCTTGGGCTCGTGCCTCACCAGGTTAGTGGTTTGGAAATGAAATCACAATTCTTTTGATGCAGGGGGAAAGCATGTGGGGTCTCTTTGCCATTCCATCTGTCCAGCCCACTTCATGTCCACCCCACTTACCCTGCAGCTGGGATTTCAGTAGGAGAGCTGACCACCTGGAAGTTATTCCATTCTGTGAGATAATGATGGGAAGAAATCACAAACAAGCAGCATTACCCAGAGTCCTTTATGCATTTAGTAAACTGACTAGAGGCCTCATAATGCAATAGGAACAGAAAAAACAGGCTTTCGAATTAGCCATACAATGGTTTAAATCCCAGCCCTGCCGTTATTAAGTGGCCTTCCTTGGTCAAGTCACTAACCTTCTCTGAGTCTTGGTTTTCTTATCTGTAAAGTGGAGAAAGGAATCCTGACCTCATCTGGTAGTTGTACAGATTATGGAAGGTTGCCTGAAAGGGCTCCACAACAGTGTATATTGTAGGCCCTCAGCAAACGATGCCTGCTGTTTCTTTGCTGTTGTTCATTATCATTATTGACTCCGCACCCAAATAGAAAGCCTTTATAGGCAGACATGGGAAAACCATGAGAAGCATGCAGGGTCACTAAAAAAAAGGCAGGATGTCTTTTGAGAAAAAGAATCTAAAGCATCATGAGGAAGTGCCATCCCTCAGGGAGTAAAAAGAAAAAGGCAGTGGGATGAACATTTAGAATTTATGTTGTCTCTTCAGTCATTTTCATTACAATATTTTTGGGAGATCGAAGAGGTTTTTCATTCTTACCTTTTGGAAATCATTGTTTTAGATTCCATGTTGTATTCTGCCCTGCCATGTGACGGCTGTCCCCATCAGTGAAATGGTGATGGTGCCAGCCAGTCCTATCTGGAGATTTGCAAGGACAGACTCACAGATGAGTGTAGGGAACAGAGTGACTCAGCTCACACTTGTCTCTCTCTTCCCCCTTGCCACCCACCTTCTGCCGGTAGGATGGCACTGTTCATACTCAGTTCAGGATGAGAATCGGAAGAGGGGAAATGACTACTTCATAGTCATAGAGACTAAGTGGATGAGCCACAATCCATACCTAAACTTGGCAGTCTGGCCAGTGTTCTTTCAAAGGTTTTGAGTCGAAAGATTCGTGGCCTGCATGTTGGGAGATTTTGCTTTCTGTTGATACCCCAGCCCTCTTGCACAAAGCCACCCATAATAAAACATGTAGAGTTCATTTAGCCTCCCTGAGCCTCAGTTTCCATATCAGGAAAGGCAGGTGCTTTACTTTATGTCCAGGATTACATCTGACACGGCCTTGAAAACCACAAAACACTGTGAAAATGTGACCCCCCGACACACACATACAAGGTGGCATTTTTTTTTTTGACATGCATGTGTTAATCTTCTCTACAGAGACGTTTCACGTAGGACCCAAAAGACAGGGTAATAACCATCTATCATAAAGAAGCTGACCTCCAGAGCCGACCTCTGCTATTTATGCTCTTGTATCTCATTTGAATCTTTCCTGAGTCTCCCTGCTGCTTCTGACCTTGAGATGTACCCTCATCTCCTTTACAGACTTTATACTGAGAAGGGCCTTAATTAAATTTTCAGTCATGTCCCTGCACTGGTTTCCTTCTTTAAGTCCTTTATGTTAAATTACTGCAGTTGTAGTTTTATCAGTGCTGAGGCCAGAGGACAAAACAGTCTCTTTATAGAAGGGGCCCAGTGTCAAAATGCATGTGCCCGTGTTTTTAAAGTACTATGGCAACTAATCCCTCTCAGTGTTATTTATCCCCATTGAGCCACACAATTGTTTGTCATTCACCAGCTCTTCTAGTTCTTTCTCCTCGTTTTCAAATGTCTGAAGGATTATTTTGGTTGTTGGCCATCTCTTCATTTGGCCTTTTCAAAGACCGAAGAATAACGCAGCCATATATGGGAAAAGCTCTGTGTGTGTGTGTGTGTGTGTGTGTGTGTGTGTGTGTGTGTATGTGTGTGAGAGATTACTTGCTTACATTATTTCAAGTTTCAAGCCTTTATTTTTAGCTACTTTCTAAAAAAGAAAGTGGAGAAAGAACTTTAAAAATTAATCAGGGTTGTGTGGTCCCCATTTATAGGCTTTAAACAACCTTTTTAACCCCCTAAATGGAGTGAGTCCATTTATGCAACCGTGTTTTGATTAGGGGAACATCGTTTCCACAAAAACACTGGGCTGTGTTGCAATGCCCTGCTGCAAACTCAGCACTTCCCTCCTCCTCTTCCTGGCTCTTAGAGACCAATGATTTCCTGTTGGAGAGGAACTTGGTAAACTCCTTTGTGTACTTTGTATGCAAAGAATGACCAGTGAAGTTTACTGGGCTCATTTTTCTCAGTGCCCCAGAGGAGAAGTTTTATTAATTGGTCCCTGTGGAAGAGATGTAGTAGAAAAGTGATAGTCCTTGGAATGAGAATCACAAGGCCCCCCACCAGCAACTCATTGTGTAATTTGGAGAAAGTTCCTTAACTTTTCCTGTGCTCTCTGGGTCTCTGCTCTCCTCTGTGTCAGACCTAGGAGACCTGAGGATTACTTGTTTTCTCTCAGGGTCCACAGGCAGAATTTGGCCCATCCAAAGATTGGCCAACTGCCAAAAAAAGGCCTGATTAGGCCCTGAAATTCAATGAAATTCTGCCTGAAGACATCACTTACTGAATTTGAAAACCGTAAAAAACCATTTCAGGTGAGAAAGGAGGCTTATAGGTTTGTTTTGTTTTTGTTTTTGTTTTTTTAGTCTCTGGCCCAATATATGGGGCATTAGATTCTGCAAGCAGGCAGCAGTAAGTATAAGCTAATTTCTATCTATAAATAGAATGTTTCAAAAAATCATTTTGTTGATGTGTGGAATACATATAGATGATCACAGACATCATTAAGTGGTAACATGATGAATGATCACAAAATGTACACAGTCTTATACCCAGCACACAGATCAGAACAAAATACTATCAGGCATCTTCAATGCCCCCCTCATGTCTCTTTCGATTATTAGTGCCTCCTTCCTACATAGAGGTAAGCACCTCTTGATTCTCAACACCATGGGAGATGTTTGATTTTGAACTTCTGTAAATGAAATCATGTAGTATATACTCTTTGAAGTCTATTGTCATTTATAATGAACTTTTTCATTATAAATCTTTGCATAGTAGTGTTGTTCTTTCTGCTTCCCATCAACAGAGTTCTTTTATTTAAACAAAAAAAGAAAAAGAAAAAGAATGAAAGACAGATTTTTCCTGGCTCCTGGGCTGGTGGCTGAGCTCTGCAAGGCCAGATCCTTTTTCTGGTTCTTTGGTGGGAGGCACACAGTTCAGGAGTTACAGACTATACAGGCCATTCTTGATATCTCCAGGAAGTTGGTTTGCTGGCTGGCAAGAGATCCTGGATGTTACAGAAATTAACAGCCTATTGGCCTACTAATCCTTCGGCTTTACATCCTCACAGAATCATAACAAGGTGATAGGGCTGAGCACAGTGACTTACACCTGCAATCTGAGCACTTTGGGAGGCTGAGGTGGGAGAATTGCTTGAGCCCAGGGGTTCAAGACCAGCCTGAATAACATAGGGAGACCCGGTCTCTACAGAAAATTAGCCTGGTATGGTGGCACACACTTATGGGAGTTTGGGGCTGCAGTGAGCCAGGATCACACTACTGTATTCTAGCCTGGGTACCAGAGGGAGTCCCTGTCTCAAAAAAAAGGAATCAAGGTGATGCTACAACAGTTGTCCAAACACCAAGGTCATTGATGGAGCACTCCTGCTTTATTCCACTTATGGACCAAGTAGTTCATATCTTTTTGTCTTTAGGTGAATGAAGTCTTGGTTCTAAAGTACTGATTTAAAAAAAAAAAAGACTCTGAATGTGTATGCCATTCTTCTGAGTTTGGACTTGCCAACCCCAGGGTTTTCTCAGCCTCATGATTTTTTTCTTTTAGCTTCAGAAAAGCAATACCAAGCCAAAACTAGGGCAGGACCCTGGGAGGGACCTGGCCTGGGAAATCTCTAATTTAGTTGCTGGGATCTCTAGCCATATCTCAGGCTATTTGGCCTTTTTACACAGGCTGTGCCCCTCAAGTCCTCAGGCCTTTAGGTTTTGAAAAGATCTCTTTACTGTGTTCAGAAATACTTATCTCAATGTGCTTCTAGGGATATGGACAGATGGGCTGCTGAGGAGGGAAATCTCAGCAGATAAGCAATAAGAGCATGTTTCCTGAGATGTAGCCCGGGAAAGGAGCCTCCTTTCCCCTATGGTTCGATACCCTTCTAGTTGATGATGATGGATATAGCAGAAAAAATGGGCAGGCCTCATGTTTCACTGTATCAGGTGTTATAGTTTGTGACCTATTCATCTTATCTCCCTCCCTCCATCCAACCATCCCTTCAACAGGTAGTCTATGCCGAGTGCCAAGCACTATGAAGTTCAGAAAAGTTAAATAACTGGCACAAGATCACCCAGTGTTGAGTTCCATTTGCGTTTGGGGTAATCTAAGGTGATAGATGTGTCCCAAGCCATTTGGATATAGTAGAGTCTGGGTCCAGTTGGGAGGCCTCTGAATACAAGGAAAGATCTGGGTATAGGTCTAACAATGTCTGGGCTTCCTCTGTGAGGTCCTAAAAGACGAGTCAAGATTTCCCTTTCCCTGGAGGATAAATTACAATGTCAGAGTTCAGAAGCATCTCAGATTGCATCTCTTTTCCCAAGAGGAGTTGGACCTAACTTTATAGGTTGAAGGATGTCACTTTGCCCCATGAGTTTTGCCTGCTGGATGAAGCTGTCCTGTTTAAGAGGTGCCTGTTTAGGAAGGCAGCCCGAGGCTTTGTGGTCATACAGATCTGATTAGAACCCCAGCTTTGTATCTTAATTTCACATTCACTATCTCATTTTACAACACCATTTGAGGCAGCTCGTAGCATTTGTCCCTGTGTGACCATGGGCTAGTTACTTGTCTTCTCTGAACCTCATGATTTATATCTGTAAAATGGGGATAATA